CGACTTGTATTGAATACTGTGGGTCCGTATCGGTTCTTCGGGGAACAGGTGGTGAAGGCCTGTGTCGAGACGGCTACGAATCATCTGGACATCAGCGGTGAACCGCAGTATATGGAGTCAATGCAATTGAAGTATAATAAGGCGGCCCAAGAGAAAGGCATATACATTGCCAGTGCCTGCGGTTGGGATAGTATTCCCTGTGATTTAGGCGTTCAGTTCCTTAAGAAGCACTTCAATGGAGAACTCAATTCCGTGGAAACGTTTCTTACCGTTAAGACGGGACCAAATGTAATGTCAATTTCTATTATAGATTTTTAACTAATTTAGTTAATTATGATAGGGATTGACCACAAACTACGGCACGTGGCAGTCGGCCATTCATGGCTTCGCTGCCGGACACGAATTGGGTGCCCTTCGGCGTCAACTCTATCGGGAAGTGTTTACTAAACGTCGTCCTCAGACTAAGTTTCGATTGCCTCGAAAGTAATCTTCATTTTTATTTAATTACAACAATTTTATATTAAATGTAACAAAATTGTAATTCACTGTCAGATCGATGCCATTCCGTTCGGAGTACTTGAGGGGTTGGTCTGTGCCGTTCCCCGGCTGTGATCGCTCTGTCGTTCAGCGCACACAACAATACAGATACGAGAAATTGAATGAAAGGCCGACACAAATCGAGACCTACTTTACTGTCGGTAGTTTTTTGAGTCTCGTTGGTCTCGCCATTATGGGCATAATGTTTGGACTCATGGCTTCGTTCCGTTGGGGCCGATCCCTCCTCGAGGCCTATCCCGCCTTCTTCTCGTTCGGCGCCTTCACTAAGACTGGTCCGACACGCGAGCAGATAATGGCCGCGACTTTTAGGACACTTATTGTAGGGAAGGGTTGGAGCGAGAAGTTGTCCGAACCCACCGACGAACCCAATGAGGCGCCCAATAAGACTGTGATCGTTAAAGATAGGCCAAAACTAGGCCCTATAGCCCGGTGGTCATGAACAAACCAAGTCAGCCCGTAATGCAATTAGTTTCTGAAGCTGTTTAATGGGCTTTTCATTTAAACTTACAATACAGACAAAACATTAATAAAACTAATGTTTGTATTGTATATTCCAGAGGCGGTGTGTTTACTCCGGGAGCTCTATTCGATGGCACCGGTATTTTCGATCGCCTTAAAGCCCACGATCTGAACATTGAAGTCGTTAACGAGTAGTGATTTCTCTCAATATTGAAGCGTTTAAACTAATTGTTAATGTTTTTATGGTCTTAAAAGGAATCAATTATTTTTATTTTTATTTCATGGATATTCAGTTTATCCCTAAAATGCCGCTCATTTTGTGCTAAATTTGTTTATTTTTATATTTGAATAATAAATATTATTTGTAATACAAGTTATAAAACCTGTTTTTAAAACTAAAATTTGTAATTGTTTAGTGAATTTTTAAAATAAAATATTTTACCGGTATTAAATGCTATTAATAAATCTATGTAACTTTATTTTCTCTACTATAGTATACAATCTAACAATAATGCTTTTAAATCCGGGTCTTTTTAATTCCGTGTGGGAGATAATAACCTACTAAAACATCCACACATGACATGCATTACATACCCAAGTCAGTTACCCCCCCGTCTTTCTCCCCCATGACACGGAATTAAAAAGACCCGGATTTAAAAGCATTATTGTAAAACATTAACAAAACTATTAATAACAGAACATTCATTACTCTTAACCCTCACGCCGTCAATAATCGTAACGTAGGCTATGAATAGCCCGAAAAACATTATTACTGTATAAAATACCTGTACATTAAATGTAGAGTACATTTTCACTGAAATATTTGTAGATTTCAAGCATAGGAACGTTGGGTTAAATGTATGGCAATATCTCTACACATAAATAATGCGTTAAATGGTTTGTTATGAACGCAAAACTGTAGACTACAGGCGATAATCGCTAATAAAGTCAACGTTTACTCACAATTTATGAACACAATTAAAAAGTGAATAACAATTAGCGAATCGATGCCTAAATTCAAAACGTGTTCGTTTAGCGGATGCCTGACTAACGCCAGAGACAATCCCGGCGTCTCTTTCTTCAGGTACCCGACGAAAGACCCGCAAAGGTATTCACTTTTCAGCACTAAATGACACGTTTGGCCACTATTTACACCTCAATCAACGAACGCAACCTAACCTATACCCCGGGGACCCGTTTTAAATTGCTTCACCTCGCAGTTAGTCACGTCCGGGTGACCAAGGTCCCGACTTATATCACACCCTACACCTCATTCACACATAGCATATCATGTACTATATTACAATTGACCTTGGTTTAATTTAGAACCAATTAATAGGTACCTGACCCTATTGAACTAGATTCTAGACACTGATGGTTATTTATGATATACCCTGAATATATGTGTAGTTTATGATGTGGTGATCACGTGTCCATCGGTTAGTACGTAATAATTGCTTAAACGGTATATGTTTTGTATGAATAGATGCCTTGAATGGGTCCGCGCGTCCAATAATGATGTGATTAGTGGCCAATACCTGAGCGGAGGCCACATTTCGGACAACGAAACGGTGTGTGAACTGCACTTCAGTCTCGAAGACATAACCGTCTATTCGTCGCGAAAATTGTTGGCCACAAACGCCGTCCCCATCGATGAGGTCCGTACGGCTGTCCCACTCCAGGCCAACACCACTGCCGACACTAATTATGGCCACAGCTATAAAAGTGGCAAAACGTTTGCCTCCCATAAAGTGAACAAAAAAAGTTTTGCCCAAAAAACTATCCGAAAGTATAACAAGAGTTTCGCGAAACCCAAGTCTTTAAAGCCATTATCTATTCTAAAATCACCCAAAAGTGCGAAAAACAGTTTAGAGATCATTGAAATCAATGGCAACTATAAAGCGGGAGAAAGCGCTAAAAAGCG